TGAGTATCGCCATTCTTAGCACCACACAACAACTCTTCAAAGAGACAAGTGAAGCCGATCCTTTGACCAGTTGTCTCTTTGACGAGTTGTTGAATGGTGCTAGGAATGGCGAGACTTACTGACGATGCCGACTACGATGCCGGCGAAACGTCTGGGAATGTACCACGTCCACGGTCCACACAAAAGGCCACACCATCTTGGTCTTTATACCTTCAAATCACTTTATACCCGATCAAAGAGGCCAGATGCAGAGTATATATACCACTTTTTAGGGATTTGCTGGTGAGTTTTCTTGACTCGTTAGGTTTAATTTGGTTGTGACGATGATACCTGGCTCTGATGATGTCCGTCATATGATACACGAAAGCTTAGCACCTTTTCACCGGAATCGAAGGAGATTGTCTCGGAAACAGCGCCAGCATGAATCTTCCAGTAAATCCAATCGACAGCTGGTCAAGAGGAATCCTCCGTCGTCTTCTGGTGGAACCGAACTTCGAATCCCTTCACGCAACACTTTCACTCGAAGTGGAAGTAAGCTTAACCAAGAGAGAATGTGGACTAACCGGCACTCGTTCTACCGCTGGGCCGGAAAGCCTGTTCACGGTTGAAAAGGTAGCGCTCGTCCTCCTCGTCGGTGGAGCCGCTGTCGCTCGACCCGTCGGCCCCGAGACAGACGAACTCGGCGCCACACTCAGAGCACATATTTGCCAGCATTTCCTGCCTCACAGTCTCCCCGGCGCCCAAATCTGGCACCTCCGAGGCTTGACCGCTTTGCTTCTGGCCCGCGGCCGACTCTGCGTCAGCCGAGCAGTTGTGTCGTTCGGCCCAATGCGCTTGGTTGTCGAGGCCTGCTGTAGCGCAGGGAGGCTGTGTCTGTGGCTGACTGAGCGGCCGGTGGCGGCCAGTTGCCCCTTGGCCGTTGGGCTCATTGGCCATCCGGACCGGCCAGCAAATGGACGTCGGCTCAGCAAAGCAATGGGACCACGGCCGACGAGGAGGCCGGCGCCGCTTTTGCCCCGACGGGGGCGGACACTGCGGACTCGGGCAGCCTGGCGGCCGGCCACAGGACGAGCTCGACGTGGCGGTCGTGCAGGTAGGCATGGTTACTGTCGTGGTTGCCGTCGTGGTTGCCGTGACCACCTGACGCGGGCCCAGGGAGCCCAGGCCTCGACATTTGGACGCGCGTAAACCGGAGGCCTGTTTGCGACCGACAATGCGTCGGACGACGCGGATATTCTCCAGATCGTGGGCTTGCCGCTTGAGACCGAAAGGGGCAGCAACCAGGTACGTACCGATGCAAGCACACACGCAGACAGCGCAGAAAGAAGAAGCATTAGAGACAAATGTCGTCACAGTCCCATGCGGGAAAGGTCGCTTTTCAGATGTAAACACTTTGTAGAAGTGGGTTCACCTCGTTTGCCCAACTTGGTCTTGTTGTCAGGCAGAGTAGTTATCATAATTACCAATATCCGACCGTCGACTTGGTACATTCGCAGACGTTTCGCCGGCATCATCAGTGAATCTTGCCATTCGCTGCACCAAGCCACAAACTCGTCAAGGAGACAAGTGAAGTCAACCCCTCGACCAATGTTCTATCGAAACGGTTGCACTATCACTCCACCTTCTGGCCTGGCCCATCTATCAATTGCTTGCCCACTCGTCTCTTTCACGAGTTGGTAGCTTGGTGCGGAGAATGGCAACACCCACTGATGATGCCGACTGTGATGTCGGTGAAACGCCTGAGATGCTGGGAATTTTGATAACTTGAAACAAAGTGAGTCGCCCTGACAACAAGACTAAGTTGCGGAAACGAGGTCAACCCACTTCGACGAATCGAAAAGAGACTTGTTAGTTGAATGTAGCAGACTCTATAAAGATAAATGCAAGGTGGAGAAGTAAAATATGGAGCGGGTTGGAATATTTGTGGACACATTTATTTTGAGGAAAAAGCGCGAGAAACACATTTCTGCAAAAGGTGCGTTTAGCGTAAACGTCGACAGCATTCCTTACATTCCACGGCGAATTAGTTTATTTAAGTGTTAAAATATATTATTAGTTGATAGCAAGCAAATTTCCCTTACCAGAGAAACCACATAGGATTGTATCCATGTTCAAGAAAATCAGGTAATCCTGAATAGTCGAAATAAAAAGAGCCTAGTCTTTCAAGGTGATTTTTT